TTATTTTGATTTAACATAGTAAATAATTTGTGTTTACTTGGCTGTGGGCATGTATCTTCCTGTAGACCGTAAGGTCCTTGATGGCAAACAGATTCAACCTTTTCCTTTGACTTCAGAGGGCAGAACTGGGGGCACTAAGTACAATTTGAACAGAAACAGATTTAGGCTGGTTTTGTTTGTTTGTTTGTTTTTGTTTTTTTTGCTGAGGCAATTGGGGTTATGTGACTTGCCCAGAGTCACACAGCTAGTAAGTGTCTAATGTCTGGTCTGGGTTCAGATTTGAACTCAGGTCCTCCCGACTTCAGGGCCGGTGCTCTATCCAGTGCGCCACCTAGCTGCCCCCCAGGCTGGTTTTAAAGAAAAATGCTTATCCAGTGGGAGCTTAACAAAAATGGAAGGGGGTTCCCCCAGGAAGCAGAGGGTTACCATTCCCTGGAGGTCTTCAAGCAAAGGCTGGATACTTGCTTGTTATGGAGGTTATGGAGAGAGCAAGTCTGGGATTTGTCTAGATGGCCTCCAACTCTGAGATTCTGTGATTCTCTGCCTGGGGCACTTTATAACCATTGATTTAACTTCTGTGAATGGCTAACCTTGGACTAGATAGATACTTTGGGCAGGACACAAAATAAATGTAAAATAATCTTAAATGAAAAAATAATGTCAGCTTCTCCCATGACAGAATGGGATAAGGACTGGTTCTGGTGTCAGAGGATTGAGTTCAATCCTGGCCTTGGTGCTTACCACCTAGGTGACCTTAGGCAAATCCTTTAAACTCCCTAGACCTCAGTTTCCTTATCTGTCAGATGTGAAGGTTGGACCTGAGGGCCCCTTTTAACTTTAGATCTCTGATCCAGTTTGGCCCCCTCCCCCTTTCTGGTTCATTGACTTTATATCTGGTTCATAGACATTGTATTATGGTCTTCGCCCCAGAAGAGACTTTAGAGGTCACTCAATGCAGCCCCTTTATTAACATCACAGAAAAGGGACTATAGGCCCAGAGCAATGAAGACAACAACCCAGAATCACCCAGGTGGTGAGTGGGGACCTCAGGATCGAGCCCAGCTGACTTTCGATCTAGGGCTCGTTTGTGTTGGAAGGACCGGTGTGTCCATGGCAATGGAGCCCTTCTTCCCTGTGACACGATCCTCTTCACTTCTTCTGTAAAATAGATCCTTGGCACACACAGCACATGGCCTGGGGAGGTGGGACAGAACGTTCTTATTGAGGACACCAGGGCACAAGGTCCTACTCGAGGAGTTCCCTTGAAATCAGCCCAGGGCTTCCCATCTGATTAAACCGTCAAACACAGATCCCCTTCCTTGCATAGTTTTCTAGGGCAGTGAATCCAAGCCCCATTTGTCCTATGGACCAGAAAGCTCAGCAAGAGTTTTGGGGCTCAGTGAGTGGAAGTGGACAACGAGGGGAAGGTCTGTCCATCTGTACTGCTTCATTTGCCTCCTCTGGCTGTCTCACTCCATGATGAATTTTTAGATCAGACATCAGCGTTCAGTGGGAGACCCCTGAGCCTGGTGACCCAAGGGAAAACTAGGACATAGCTCCTGATGCTACCAGGCAACAAGAATGAATCCCACCCTAGCACCACTCTTCATGCCTTTGGTAGGAAAATGTCAGTATAGGACAGGGATTCTCCAGGTATGGTCTATAGATCCCTGTGCCTGGAGTCAGGAAGACCAGAACTCAGACACGTAATATCTGTGTGACCCTGGGCAAGCCATTTAACTTCTATTTGCCTCAGTTTCCTCTACTATAAAATGAGGCTAATAATAGCAACTACCTCACAGGAGTGTTATGAGGATCAAATGAGATAATATCAGGGCTGCTATGTGGCACAGTGGATAGAGCTCCAGCCTTGGAGTCAGGAAGACACTTGACACTTATGAGCTGTGTTGACCCTGGGCAAGTCACTTAACCCTGATTGCCTCACCAAAAAGAAAAAAGAAAAAAAATGAGATAATATCTGTAAAGTGCTCAGCACAGTACCTGGCACATAGCAGGGCCTATATAAATGGTTATTCCTGCTTCACTTCCCATTGTGTCTGTCAAGGTCCAAAACACAGATCCCACAGAAATGTGATTTTTTTTTGGGGGGGGGCTAGGCAATGGGGTTAAGTGACTTGCCCAGGGTCACACAGCTAGGAAGTGTCAAGTGTCTGAGACCAGATTTGAACTCAGGTTCTCCTGACTCCAAGGCTGGACCTCTATCCACTGTGCCACCTAGCTGCCCCAAAATGTGATTTTAACTACATCCCATGGGAATTTTGAATCTGTGTCAAAAGCAGGATTCAATTCAATTCAATAATCATTTATTAAGTGCTTGTTGTATGCCAGGCAATGCGCATACAAAGCCAAAGACAAAATGGTCCTTGTCCACAAGGAAATTGCTTTGGGTACACATACACAGATAAGTCTAAGTAAAGTATATTCCACAATGATTTTTTTCAAAAGAGGCCAGCTCAAGATTATTTTCTTTTTTAAATTGTCTTTCTTATTATACACCTAGTGATAAACTAACACAAACATTCCAAAGAAGGAAGGGGGAAAAACAGACATGTAAAACTTGAACTTATGTAGAGAAAAAGTATATTAAACTTAGCAAAGTGATACGATTCTCCTGTCTGTGCGCCTTTCTGAACTTTTTTTCCTGCGTATTTTTGTTTTAGTGATGTTTTAGAGGGGACGTCATTATCATTACCCATTAACCTCTACAGACACACCAAAAGAAACCCTTTCAACAAAAAACACAACCCAGTTAAACAAATCTGCACATAAGGCTGCAGCTGAAGCTGTCCCATCTCTTCTTAGCCTCAACATCTTAGGTGAGAACATATCTCAGCCAATCAATCAAAGACTTCAGACTTGGTGTGACAATTTTTGAAAGCTATTGGATGAAGTGAAATAAGACAAAAGAGGAAGTCTGTTCCAACTGGTGAGGAATTTCATCAAACCCTCTGGGTCCTGTATAAGTTTCTAGTTTCTGGAATCTGGAAATTCTGTAGAGCTGCAAATGAAAACACAATGTTCCAGCTAAACCTCTTGAGAAGGAGATGAGAACAGTTCAGGCTGGCCTTGGTTTCCCTCCCCCCCCCATTCTCACTTTTTGGCTAGAGGAGCACCTTAGAATCTTTGAAGGATCTGGAGAATTTTGGAGTTCCCACTGGTGTCTTAGCAACAGCCCAATGAACTAATGGCAGTGTCTGCATTGGGACCCAAAGATATACAGGACGTGGATTGGTGACTCTGCAAAGATTTCTGCAAAGTAGTTATACCATGTCTAAGGAAAACTTCTTGAGCATCCCAGGTATGGGAAAAAAGGACTTTCAGCAGCCAGGATCTGTGAGTTACCCCTCTGCTACATGCTGTCCTCCAAGCTAGAGCCCACTTTCCCTGACATTCTATACACACTTTGGAGGAATGTGTTTTGTATCGTCCATGCATTAGTTGTGTCCAACTCTCAATCCATGATGCTTTATGAACTTGGTCTTTTGGGACCTGTTGGTTCAATGGGTGGTGATCCGTTAGAATAATATCTTTATCTCCTTACAAGGTTCTAAGCACGAGCTGCATGACCCACATGCCAGACTGCACTAGTCCCTCCCACGCTTGGGTTTATGGGGAATGTTTTCTGGCAGGTGCATCTCTATTGGCTCGAGCCCCAACCACGATCTAAAAGAGGATTTCCAAAGTCAACCTGAGGCTAGGTTATTACTGGGCTAATAAAAACCTAAGTGAACAACAGTGTCAAATCTAAAATCATTTAACTGAAACTTCATAGGGAATTTTTAAAAAAATAAACACATTCTCGGCAAGCATTCCAGCACATTCCACTCTTCTCTTTCCCAGCATGGCTCGGAAGCCTCCATGCTTGCGTTTTCCCTCCAGGCCCCCATCTGCAGAATGGGTGAAAAGGCATAATATCTAGTCAGCTCCTGGCAGCCCTGAGTACACGTTTCTCCTAGCTCTTGGTTGGCAGCTCTCCGCAGTCTCTCTACACCACTGGCAACCGTGGCAGATTCCTCAGCTTGGCTAGCCTGCCTGTTCCAGCATGGCTGGCACCCTGCTCATCTATTCTAGTCAATCCTCAGCTCCATTTCTGGTTGGCTCCATGATTCAGAATCCTTTCATCACTGGCTATTCTACTTCACCAACACAGCATTCCTTTTGACCTTGAAGTCATGATCCTTTACATCATGCCCGACTCTTGGGGTCCAGAGCCTCATGGGAAATGTAGCTTCCAATCAGTTGGGGTCTTTTTGGTTCATTGTGTAATGTCCTGGGAATTGTGAAATTGGTCCATGTGACACAGCCTGTCTTTGAGATCATTGTTTCTACATAAAATCTAATAATAGGTAGAAAACAGAATTAGTTCCTCAGATGTGTGATAGTTTCCCAAGTCATAAGAATGGGTACCAGGAAAGTGGGTGTGGTGAAATGAACCAGAAGACTATTGCAATAGTCCAGGTGTGAGATGTTGAGGGTCAGGGCAGTGGCCATGTGAACGGGGAGAAGGGGGTGCAAATGCGAAATGTAATGATAGAAACTTATGAGGCTTAACAGATTGGAGTCAGGAGGACCTGAGTTCAAATGTGACCTCAGACACTGTAACCCCTGGGAAGTCTCGTCACCCTGTTGGCCTTAGTTTCCTCATTTGTAAAATGGGCTGGAGAAGGAAGTGGCAAAACCACTCCGGTATCTTTGCCAAGAAAACCCCAAATGAGATCACAGAAATGACTGAACAGCATCTTTGTGCTCGGTACTTTTCCCAAAATCCCGTGCTGCAAAGGGCCATCTTTCTCAGACCCACCCAGGTGACCCTGGCAAGACAACAGGTAATTGTAGCATCATAGACTAGAAGCCCCCTCAGAGGCCTTCTAGCTCTGCTTCTCTCAGTTTACTGTTGAAGACTGAAACAACAATGGCCTCATGTGGGAGGACTCTTGTCTCCAGCTTTACTGTGTTTAATCTCTTTTCTTTCTCCTTAGGGAAGGAAACAAGATTAATTTTTAAAATGCAAAGATGTAGTGCTATCCCAAGGAACTTCCATGCCCCTAGAAGACCTCCCCTGATTCCTGGGGCTCTCCAGGCAGGTCTCCACCCTGAAGAGATGCTAAAAGCTGCCCAGGGATTGGGAGTGGGTGGACCCCACTGAACAAGCATTCCTGCAACTGCAGAGGAGGCTCACCTGAGCCCCAAATGCCCTGTTGTGCCATGTGCTAACACCTCTGGAGGAGTGAGGGCGTCATCTCTGCACAGACAGACCTGCACGTGGGCCTGACGGGACCCTCCACCCGCCAGGATGATAAAGGCCGCTGGGTGCCCTGGATCGTGTGTCCTGCTTGGACCCGGGAAGACCTCCGTTTACCTCCTCCTACCTCTGACAACTTACCAGCCACGTGATGATGGGCAATTTAATGGTGATGATGGTCACTGAATGGCACTGGGCCTCAGTTTCTTCATCTAGAAAAGGGGATGATAATACCTTTCAGGGTGGTTATAGGGCTGATCGCAGATGATGAGTGTGAAATGCTTTACAAGCTCAAAGTAAGACATATGTAGAGTGAGATAATTAATAATAGTAATAATGATGATAATAACTAGGATTTTGTAGAGCTTTTAGGTTTGCAAACATCTCATTTGATCCTCACAACAACCTTGGAGGTAGGTGCTGTTATCCCCATTTTACAGATGAGGAAACTGAGAAAGACAGGTTAAGTAACTTACCCAGGGTCACATATCTAGGGAAGTGTCTGAGATCAGATTTGAACTCAGGTATTTCTGACTCCAGGTCCACTATTCTATCCATTTAGACACCTAACTGCCTAATTATAGATAGATAGATAGATAGATAGATAGATAGATAGATAGATAGATAGATAGATAGATAGATGATAGATAGATGGTAATAGATAATTAGAGATTGATCAATAGCTAATGATAGAAAGTTATAGGTAGACACAGAGAGAGAATGCAGTATATAGAAGGGCAACTAGTTGGTATAGTGTACACACAGCATTGGGCCTGGAGTCAAGAAGAGCTAAGTTCGAATCTGGCCTCAGACACTTACTAGTTATGTGACCCTGGGCAAGTCACTTAACCCTGTTTGTCTTAGTTTCCTCCTCTGTCAAATGAGCTGGAGAAGGAAATGGCAAACCACTCCAGCATCTCTGCCAAGAAAACCCCAAAATGAAGTCAGGAAGATAGACCCAACTGAAAGGACTGAACAATAACAAATACAGAGAGCTCATAAAAAGTTATAGATATGTATGTATATCTATGCATAGAGATATTTATATTTCTCTAGTTCTATATTTGTTGTTTGCCCTTCATTTTTTTTGGGGGGGGGCGCAATTGGGGTTAAGTGACTTGCCCAGGGTCACACAGCTAGTAAGTGTCAAGCATTTGGTCTGAGGCCAGATTTGAACTCAGGTCCTTCTGACTTCAGGGCTGGTGCTCTATCCACTGTGTGCCACACAGTTGTCCTTTGTTCTTTAAGAGGACTGTGACATCGGGAAGGTGACACCGCGACTTGCAAGTGAATTGGATTTAAGTGAGGGAGGGCTGTGCAAAGTCACCAGCCTCACTTTCTCCTCCCAGAGCCATATGGGTCCAGTGGCCAGATACACATCAGAAAGGCCCCAGTGGAGATGTTTGTATTTCTGTGGTTCCATATTTACTTTCAAGGAAAAGGAACCGATGGTAGACAAGGCATCCTCTGGAGCATGCTGACACTTCATCGAGGTAGAATAGTCCCCAATCACCATGTGCCCTGACCACCAGAATTCAGAGTATTTCCAGTCTACCAGGTAGTTAGAACTGAGGCAGACCTGGTGAACCAGGTCTTTAATTGTTACTACTTTACAAATTCCTTCCCGGAATCCAGAACCAATGGCTAGAGCCTCCTTCCTCCAAGCCCCACCCTACCCCAAATACCTTGTATCTCATTATCTGACCAGGTTGAATCAGCCTTGCTATTCACATCTGTGCTGGTACCTTCTGCCCCTCCAACTGGAGGCTTCCTTCTGTGTCTTTGTCTTCTTATTAGATTGTAAACTCCCTGAGGTCAGGATTTGTGTTTCTATCCCCACCCTTAACACAGTGCCCAGCCATAGTAGGCTTAATAAATCTTTATTGACTGTATTGATTTAGTACTTATACATTGTGCATTCGTATTTGTATTGTATGATTATATGTGTACCTGTTATTTTCCAACTAGAGTGTAAGCTCCTTGAGGGCAGGGAGGACTCTTTGATTTCACTTTGATCTCTATGTCCCCTTTACCTAACACAGCACCTGGAACAAAATAGTTGCTTAATAAATTCTTTGCCTTCCTGGGTAGGGAGGGAGGGAAGGGGAGAAAATTTAAAACTCAAAAGCTTATGGAAGTGATTGCTGAAAACTAAAAATAAATAAATTAATTTAAAAAAATTAATGCTTATTGATTGAATAAGCACTCATCAAGAAAGCTAGAGGGTGGGGAGCTCGGAAAAGGACAACTATAAGCCTTAGTTTATCCTGAGACTCTAACCATCCAGCTTCACCCTGAACTTGTTGACCCCCCAGAGGGGACCTGCACGCCCCGTACCTGCTGACTGTCCTGCTCGCTCCCTCACCCAGGACTCTTTGTCCCTACCTCCAGAGAAGAACAAACAAAACCTCCTGTACATACCCCGAGGGTGTGAACGAGCGCGGTTAGGATCCAAGTGTGCCACAGTGGGTGAGCAGGCCTGTTATGTTGGAGGTTTTAGCGCCCTATAGCTGGTCACCCAAAACTTTTGGTTACCCATACCACCTAGCGCTTGTATCTTTGTGAGTCGTGTATGGCCAAATGCCTGCAAGACATCTCCACTTTGGTGTCCCATAGCCACCTCAAACTCCACGTGTCCAAAACAGAACTTGTTTTTTTCCTAAATCTACCCTTCCTGAGGCGGCTAGGTGTTGAAGTAGATAGAGCACTGGTCCTAGAGTCAGGACCTGAGTTCAAATCTGGCCCCAGACACTTACTAGCTGTGTGAGCCTGGGCAAGTCACTTAACCCCAAATGCCTCCAAAAACAAACACACAAAATTAATCTGCCCTTCCTCCTAACTGTCCTACTTCTGTTGAGGGCATCATCATCCTTCTAGTTTCCCAAATTCTCAACCTCATCAAAGTTATCTTTTCATTCTAGGTTTTTGTTACACTGCTCCCTCCTGGTCCCACTTCTGCCTTTCAGACCACTCCTTCTCAGTCTCCTTTTGTTGGCTCTTCCTCCAGGCCATGCCCTGGGTGAACACCAGAGGTGTCCCCTAAGGCTCTGTCCTGGGCCCTCTCCTCTTCTCCCTTTAAATTACTTTACTTGGTTGTCTCATCAGCACCCATGGATACAAGTATCATCTCTATGTAGATGATTCTCAGATTTATTTGTCCAGCCCAGACCTCTCTCCTGACTTTTAGTGTAGTATCTCCAACCAGAGACAGCTAGGGGGTTCAGCAGATAGAATTCTGGGGTCTGAAGTCAGGAAGACCTTAGTTCAAATTCAGCCTTGCACACTTACTAGCTGTGCAGGTCAATTAACCTCTGTCTGCCTCAGTTTCCTCAACTGTAAAATTGGGATAATCATATCACCTGCCAGGGTTGTTGTGAAGCTCCAATGAGATAATATTTGTAAAGTGCTTTGCAAATTTTAAAGTGCTTTGTAAATGATTGCCAGATTAAGAGAACCTCTACCTTCCTTGATGAGTTCCCATAACTGAACATAATACTCTTGATGCGTTCTGCCTAGCTGTTTTCAACTGGCAGATCTGTGCCTGGGTTCAAATTACAAGGCACTGGAAATGACCACAGTCCAACTTACAGCTACCCGGCACAAGTGATTTATTCAAAGATACACAGGCTTAGTCACTTTCCAAGAAGCCCACATCCTGACCAGAGTGCTGTCATGCTGGCTCCATATTGGACCTATGTCTGGCCAATGGACCAGTTCCTGGACCAGCAAGTAAAGGTTATCTCCTGTTATGCTGTTCTACCAGATGGTTTGCAAACTTCCCAGAGGATCTGAAGTCTCATCAATGTGGATGTTCCCTCCGATAATGCAAATTACCACCCATCCATGCTTGCCCATCTTGGGCAACTCTTGTCCGTGCCCCACCCTAAGTTCACCACTAAGGGTCTGCTCAATATGTGAGAAAAGTACTCCTCAAATGTTTCAGTCTTAGGACTCCTTTATACTCTTAAAAATTATTGAGGATCCCAAAGAGCTTTTTTTTTTAAAAAGTCTATTATACTTATCAATAGTTTCTTCATAAGAAATTAAAAATGATAAAAATTTAAAAGTCATTTATTTCAAAATAACAATAAACCCATTACATGTAACATAATATATTTTATGAAAACTAAAATTTTTTTTTCAAAGCCAAAACACTTAGCATTGTTTATATATCTTTGCAAATCTCTTTACTATTTGATTGAACAGAAGACACTTGGATTCTCATATCTGCTTCTGCATTGAATCTGTTGCACTGAGCTATTATGGTTGAAGAAAATCTAGCCTCACACAGATAGGTAGTTAGGAAAGGAAGGAGTATTTTAATAGGAAAATAATATCCTAATATATTAACAAAATAGTGTTGACCTTGTGGACCTCCTGAAAGATTTCAAGAACTCCCAGGGGTCCTTGAATCACATTTTGAGAACCTCTGTGCTAGAGGTCTCCTTACCTTTCTATTGAGGGGGGCAAATAGGAAGAGCATTGGACTTGGAATCATAAGACCCAAGTTTGAATCCTGAATCATAGCTCTTCCAATTGCTACCTAGATGACATTGGGCAAGTCACTCTTGCCTTTTTGGACCTCAGTTTGCTCATCTGTAAAATGGGGAGGTTGGGTCAAATGACCTCTAAAGACCCTTCCAGCTCTATATCTATGGTCCTTCTGGCTTCCCTGTCTTCCTTCAAGTCTCAGCTAACTACCCACCTTTTGTGAGAAGTCTTTCCTGGTCCTCTTTTTTTAATTATTTGCTTTATTTTTAATTTATTAAATAAAACAAGCATTGCCATAACATAGTAGAATAATAGAAAGATAATTGCACATGAAACTATAAATCTATTATGGATAACTTGCTTTTCCTTTTAAATATATAATATATATTTTAAATATATATATATTATATATATATATATATCCTTTTAAATATATAATATAATCATGTAAATTTATTATTTTTCTCTTCCTTTTCCCAACTCTGCCCTAGAGATGGGTACCATTAGACACAAATTTGTATATACATATAAAATCATTCTATACATACTTCTATTTATCAGTTCTTAGTCTGGATACAGAGAGTGTCTCCCTTCATATATCTTTTGTAGTTAATTTGAGCATTTATAATAGTCAAAATGATTTTGCTGCTCAAAGTTGTTCTTAGAACACTATTGCTATTATTGTACACAACATTCTCTTGGTTCTGCTCATTTTACTCTGCATTATTTTGTGTATGTCTTTCTTAAATGTTTTTCTAAAATCAATGAGCTCATCATTTTTTATAGCACAGTAGTATTCCATCATAATCATATACCACAACTTGTTCAGCCATTCCCCAATTGACGGTCATCCCTGTGATTTCCAGTTCTTTGCTACCATAAAGAGAGTTGC